CAACTTAAAAAGATTTGGTGCTTCACAAATGCCCTTCTGACACAGTGGTATCCACAGGTGGTGCGGAAAACATCTGCAAAGCTGGTTTTAAGTCCTTTTTGCCACATGGTGTGTGGAAAGGCCTACAGACTGGCATGGTGGTGGTTCCTCCTTGTGATAACTGCTGACTCACATAGGCAGACCAGCTGAGATAAAAGATGTTCCAGAAAATGATTGTTCAATCTTGTCCAAGAAATAGGCGATCCCTTGACTAAGAAAAGTTGGCAAACCTTTTGAGTGGTGCTGGTCTCTTCCATCACATGTGAGTGAGTGAAGCCAAAAGTACATTGTGAGCCTCTCTACATCACATAACTTCACTAAACATCAGGATCCAGCATGTCCTGCTTGGGTCCCCACTGTGCTGTCTACACTCCTCTGCAGGGGTTATAACAGTGCCAGCAGGCACTCATACCTGTAACCATGTAGCACCAGGATGAAGAATGTAATGTCCAAATGTATCCAAAATACTGCTCCTTTGGATAAGGTGAATTTATTTTATACCACATATTCCTGTGGGCTGTGAAATTTCGAATGAGTGAGCAAGTGCAGAACTGAATCATGGAATGGTTTGGGTTGGAAGAGGCCTTAAAGATCGTCTGGTTCTAACCCCTCTGCCATGAACAGGAACACCTTTCACTAGGCCTTGAACACTGCCAGGGAAGGGGCATCCACACATTCTCTAGACAACCTGTGACAGTGCCTCATCACCCTCATGATAAAAAAATTATTTCTTATGTCAAATCTAAACCCACCCTCTTTCAGTTTAAAACAACTACCCCTTGTCCTATCACTACAGTAAATAGTAAATAGTAAATAGTAAATAGAGATGCCTACAGAGAAGGAGGATGTTGCCCACGGAGCTGCCCAGAGCAACAGCTGTGCTGATCTAATCATGATTTCTGTTCAGATCAACTAGGTAGAAATAATTAAATAAAATCAGCACTACTTTTTTTTGAAAGAGAAAAAATTATTTATTAAGGCTTTCGACTTAACTATGCTTTTCTTCTCCCTGCACAGAGTGGAAAGTTCCGTCAGAAGGAGGAGTCACAAGTGGAGCATACAATACAACTACTGCAACAAATAGAACCACTGAAAAGGGTAAGGATTTTTTAAATTGTCATTTCAAATTCCTCAGATTCTTGCACAGCTTTCTTATTTACAACTTCTCTTTTAACAGACGATGACAGCAAGGGGGGCAATTATTTTGGCAAAACTCTGAGTCCTGGAGAAACCAGCCTGATACTCGCAGCTTTTTTTTTCATTGGACTTGTTCTGCTGTCAACAGCATTAATCTTCTTCTGCCTCGTCACCCACCAAGGAAACAGGATCCATTACACGGCTCTGCATGACAAAAGTGCACTTCTGGCAGATTCCTTGTAAATCCCCGTTTTTAATATCATTCACAGGGCCTCACTGGATTTCACAACATAGAATCATAAAATCATTAGGGTGGGAAAATACCTCTAAGATCACTGAGTCCAACCATTAACCTCATACTGCCAGGTGACATGCTGCTAATGAAACTGGATCAAGGCATATGCTGATAGTCCTACCCATAGCCAGCACTCACAAGAGTGAACATTAGCTGTAGGGCTCAGCTCTGAGAGCCATTTACCACCCACCACCATTTCCACTTCTCTGGAGTTCAGCTGAGCTTTGCCTGAGATCCAATACAGCAGCTGAACGGAGCAGCACACCTCTTGGCATCCGCATCAGCTACATAGGATTTCCACAGGAGTAAGGAGCAATCAGCAAGCAGCAGGGCATCCACTTGCTCTGTGCAGAAACATGGGGCTCACACTAGGAAAAAACACCACCAGGGGCTGTTTTAAGTTGTTGGCTTCTGAAGGAGCAGGTGTTAATAATAAAGTTCCTGCAGTTTCCCAAAGTCTGACTCAACAAATTCACCAACATTTAAGTGATTCTCCCCTTTTTTTTTTTTTTTTCCCTGTCAAATGAGGAAACTGCACTGGGACAGATTTTTGAAGGCTTTTAGGGACCTATCAATATATTTTAGCACCTGATGGGTTCAGCAGTGCCCCTGTTGTTAGTTTTTAACAGCTTTTATTAATGTCTTTAAAAATCTAGCCCTGAGCAACCTCCAGAAAGTTAGTTGACTTTGTAATTGCTCCTTG